ACACTTCTGTGACCTTTTTGGGTTTTATTTGTTTGGTTGTTTGTTTTTTCAATGAGCTAAGCAGATACAGACCTTTGAAGTTCTTTCAATAAGCCGTTTTATCTGCCTTCTGAATGTATTTTGAATATAATGTTCAACTGAAAGCAGTCGCTTCTGATGTTTTGGCCCTTTCTTTTAGTCAGCTTGTTTGGACATCTTCAGACAAAAGCAAAGAGCCCCTGCAAGGAGGATATACACAACTAAATAATCTAAAGCAGTTCTTCAGAGGTTAGCACACACACTGAAGGTATCTAGGAGTTAACAAGCACTGGGCTAAGCACTTGAATCCTCATCACCCCAACAGGCATCCAGAAAGCTGCAGGTGCCTCAGCTGGGATCAACTAGGAGTAAATTGGTAAAACTGATTCCTTGAGACAAAAGAATTATTTTTGTTTTGAGGATTTGTGTGGCATAAAGGAGAAGAGGAATGGTCATATCAGAAAAAAAAAAAAATATCCAAAGTTTTATGTGGTAAACTGTAAACTGTTTGCTGTAAATTAATTGTTTATTCATTACCTTTTTATTTGACTTGTGTAAAGGCTTTACAGACACAATAATTATACAAGAAATCACAATAATTATACAAGAAAAATCATACAAAATTATTTTCTCAGTTAAATACACATGTACTTCTTAATATTTATTGCTAAAATGAGTACAAGTATATGTATCCCCACAAATAGTTTTCCAACAAGAACATCCATATTTTGTTCTGCAGTGGTTAACCAGTTCTCAAATTTAATCTATATATTAGTAAGACAAAAATAAATAAGGCAGATAAAAATGCTCTGACAGAAGCTTAGCTATGGTAAGTGAATGTAGACAACTGCATGCCATCTACCTGGAAGGAGCATATGGGAAAGTACATCTTGTTTTCTACTTGTTGTATTTTGATTTGTGGCACAGTTGCTTGTTTCCCAATGTAACATGAAATCTGTGGTAGCATCAGGCTTCTAGTGTTGCTGATTATCATAGTATTGGATATATCTAAATTTATAATTGATAAACGTCACTTGCAGAAGTTCAGGAATAGTCATAAGACTGTGTCATTTTTACTGAACATTTAAAGTAATATAGATAATAAAATGGAAAAAAAAATTATCAATACACAGTCTGAGGTTTGAAATTACTCTGAACATGTAGATGGCTGTAAATAATAGCTCCAAGACTTTGGAGCTTCTGGCATTTTCTAATTTGAATTGGTAAAGTATTTGGCCCATCAGTAAAACATTAAGGAATTCCACTTATAGCAAACTACAAGGTTTGTCTCTCCTTTGGGCTTCTAGTAGTGCTGTGTCCTGGTTTACAATGTTATGTTGCACTGTTGCCTCATGAGAAGTCCACAAATTAGAAAAGCAAAGTTGCTGGTTTGCCTCCCTGCATCCTTCATCTCAGTGCTTTGCCAGATACTCCTACTGCTTGTTCCCTTTCTCCCAGCCCATGCTCCCAAATTATCTCAGTCTCCTTGTTTCTACTCCCGTGCCCTACATAACAGGTAGGATAAGACAAAAGTCACTGGTATATATAATTTGCCTTTTTTAAGCACGGTAAACACATTAACTAAGGAATGTTCTTCTCTACTGCAGAAATATTATTCAAGGATGGTGAAATTCTGTGTGGGAGACATTTCTTATTTCTTTTTTCTGTTTTCCATGTCTGTATTCTTGTTTGCATATGTTGTCACTTTTTCCTTCTTTCTTGCCAGATTTTCCCCTCAGTTTACTATTCAACATATTTTACTTTTATAGTATCTTTGTACAAATAATTGTAAAAAAAATGTATTTAATTTTCTTTTCCTTTTTTTTTTTTGTTGTTGTTTTTGTTTTGTTTAAAGCACTGATTGTAGCTTCTAGGCTCTATCTTTTACTCATGTTCGGTGGTTTCTTTGACCTTTCCCTCACTTGTCATTAACTGTCCTTCTTCCCTTAACATTTCAGAGTGTATTCCTCTCCACTTGCCCTTGATTTAATGTTTTTCCTCCTTCCTCTTTTCTTTCTGTCCTTTCATTTCCCATTATTTTGCTCCCTTATTATCAATCATCTTTTGATAGCTATTTCCTTGCTACTGTATTCTTCTGCCTGTCCATCTTCCCTCTCATTCAGGCCTCTTGTCTTGATCTAGGAATTGAAATCTGTGTGTCTCTGTGGAGGGACTACAGGGACTACAGCCTAACCATTCTTCAAAGTCTTGCCTTGGGGTCATATGAGCCGGTGCTCTGGAGGATGTTCTGGTCTCTTCCTCTTTCCCACTCCTTCCTCAGCATTTCAGGTGTGCAAGCGCCAAACCTTTTAACCTGCTGAGCTGCGTTAACTATGTCTGGAGGTGAGATGCAGAAGAGAAAGAAGATGTTAGGGTGATGAGAGGTACTTTTTGCAGGTTGCCAGTTGAGTTTATGTTCATCTGAAGGTAGCATTTGCATGGGATTCTGGGGGAATTACCTTATTCCTGTGCTGTCTGAGTTAATCCATAGTAATTGCAAGGTATGTTGAGGCCAGGCTGTGCACATTGGCTGCTCCATGCAGTACAGCACAGAACCAGCATTAAAGCAGGCTGCTGGAGGAGACTGCAGCTTTAGCTCCTTTGCCTGTTCTCCTGTGTGCTGCTCACAGCTCTGTGCTGGGGTCAGCTTCTTCAGGTAGTAATATAGGATATGCAGGTGGGACTTCAGCACTGTGTTGCAGGATTGAAGACATGGGAGGGAAGGGGTTGTGTTTGTCCTCAGTGCACCATGGGCTGTGGGACATCGCATGAAGTTGAGTTGATGCTGAGTTTTTGAGATGAGGAGAGTCATGCTTATTGTAAGGTGTTGGGCTGGATGATCTTTAGATGTCTTCCAAACCAAGACATTCTATGATTCTATGGTTCTGTGATTGATTCTATGATTCTATATACCTGTGCTCTTCTGCACATCACTAAAGCACCCTGTTTAACACAAGAATGAGACACCTGAAGAAAGCCTACCTGAAAGCTTTGCTGTACATCCATCTGTCTGTCTATCCCACCACATGCACTTCACACTGCAGAGGTCCCAACATGATCTCAGTGGTGACTCCAGCCACTCTCTACTTGTTTTGCTCATAACCAACCTTGGTGTCATTACAGGCCATGGTATCTGCTCATGTGGCTGGTGCATTTGCCAGGACGGGTGGTTTGGAAAGCTGTGCCAGCATTCAAGGAGGTGCAACATGACCGAGGAGGAGAGCAGAAGTCTCTGCGAGTCAGCGGATGGCATATTATGCTCGGGGAAGGGTAAGAACTGGCAGCTGATCTGCCCCATAATCTGTACCCTGGCAGTGGAAAATGATCATGTTCTGGGAGACTAATGTGCAACCCTTTCTTACAAAGGCACCTATTATTAAAAGGATATTTGTCTCTGTAAATGCACTTATATCTCTTTTGTCTAACACCCACCACAGCCATACATCCTTAGCAGCCTTGCTCTCCCATGCAATTTGTAAACAGCATATAATTATCTGTTTGTGTTTACCTGATGATCTGGATTGAGCAGCTGCACCTTATAAACTAGCTGTTAGTGCTCCATCCAGTTTGAGGGACAGGAGCACTGCCTGCAGTAACATTGCAGTAGGCAAGATGGCAAATGTAGGGTCTCAGGCACCAATATGTAGAGGAGAGTGTGTGATAGAATCACAGAATGGTTTGTGTTGGAAGGGACCTTAAAGATCATCTAGTTTCAAGCCCCCTGCATGGGCAGGGACACCTCCCACTAGACCAGGTTGTAGCAACATTTGGTATACTTAATCATCACCCCTCCCCAGCACAGCAACAAAGGAAAAGCAGACATCTGTACCCTCTGTAACAGCATCCCACAAATTCTTTCGTTTACTAATTTTTATTCAGGTAGTTGAGTCAGCTTCAGTCCAGCTATAAAAAATTGCCACAAGGAGGAATAAAATTTAGCAAATCTTGATAATTATCCAAAAATGTTCTCTGAGGTTCTTACCTTGCAGTCTCTCAGGCTAGGAAACTGCATTACTGGAAAGAGGACTTTTTAGCTCCCTCATAGGCAAACTGCCTATTTTTGTATATAATTTGTCTGAAAGAGAATAGACAAAAAATGGGTGCTTAGACTGGCTGGAGGCTACAGTGCACCCACTCTAGACTGGATGTGCCATTTCCTCTGTTAATGTATTCCTTGCATAGACAGGAAAAAAACCTGGTAGCTGGAAAAAACAGTTAGGAGCTGTCTGCACAAGGCAGATTTCTAGCTGTCCCTTTCATAGCTTTTATTTCAGTGTGAAGGAAATTTAAGTGGGGTTTCCAGCCTGGCCTTTTTCCCTCTATATTGGGCAGATTTCTCCCTCACTGCACCATTTAATTTGGTTTTGTTTTGTTGTTGGTTTTTTTTGTTGTTGGCTTGTTGTTTTGTTTGTTTGTGGTTTTTTTTCCCATTCATTACAAAAATGAGGAAGTTGCAAAATTTCTCTCTTGTTTCCAGAAGATGTGCCTATTTTTAAATTAGTGTATGTGTAAGAGGATGGTGAGATACTGGAGAAATTGAGTTACTCTAAATTACTGCAGAAGTTGACTTCTTCTCTTAGTCTTGGTCTCCCTGGGATTTTTTTATATAATCCATGAAGGTGAGGAAATAGGTTTAAAATTTAAAAAGTGCAATATATGAGATTGTAAATAATGAACATGAAAAATTTCGTTGAATTTTAAATTGTTCGTATTATCTGCAGCCTTTTTGTAAGGATCTTGAGAGCTACTTACTCCAGCCTATGAGTCTTTGAGAACAATTAGCTTTGAGCATGTGTCAAGAGTGCAATTTACTCTGGGATCCAACCCTCTGCGTGGGCAGGGACATCTCCTCCTATATCAGATTGCTCAAAGCCCCATCCAGCCTTGCCTTGAGCACTTCCAGGGAGGGGGCAGTCACAACTTCTCAGGCATTGTGTTCCAGTGTCTCACCACCCTCATAGTGAAGAATTTCTTCCTAAGGCCTAATCTAAATCTCCCCTCTTCTAGTTTAAAGCCATTATCCCTTGTCCTCTCATTACAAGCCCTTGAAAAAGTTCCTCCTCAGCTTTCCTGTAGGTGCTCTTCAGAGACTGTGTGGTCTCTCTGGAGCCTTCTCTTCTCCAGGCTGAACAACCCCAGCTCTCTCAGCCTGTCTTCATAGGAGAGGTGCTCCAACTCTCTGATCATCTTGGTGGTCCTTCTCTGGACTTTGTCCAGGACCTCCACATCCTTCTTATGTTGAGGACTCCAAAACTGGATGTAGTACTGCTGCCCAGGAGGTGGTTTGGTATCTGGTCACTGTTATAAGCTAATGTAGGTTTCTTTGACCTCCAAGCACAGATGAACTTTCAATGTGATGGAAGGCTGCTATGAAGACTGTCAATGTAGTGAAGCTGTGTCAAATCAGATGCTATAACAGCTTTATTGTAGGAACAGCTGGTCGTATATAAGTTCTTGTACCAGTAGAGCAATATCTATGTAACATAACTTCCAAAAGTTTGTGGCCAGTAAACATCTGAGGAGGCTACTATCTCCTGCCTCTTTGAGCTGGACAGGGATCACGGGCAAAGACAGTCTAATTACTTGCAATGTTTCTATGCTTAGCTTTTTTTTTTTTTTTCTTTTTCTTATTAGGCAATTTTATTCTTGGTGCTTAAATATCTACCTGGAAATCATGTCTTTCTGAATATTCATATTTCAACATGTCGCTCATAACTAGTGTGACCAGCTCTATCCAGAGGGCAAAAAGACAAATTCTTCTATCTCTTTCCTTACATTGAGTAATAAGTAACCATTACTGGTCAAATAAAAGGGAATTTCAAACCCATGCACTAATGATGGTTATTCCACCTTTGCTGGAAACCTAGCCAAGGTTTGCAAGCGCTACCATGGATTGAGGAAGCTTGAGTTTCTTTATGTCAGATTTAATAGACTCTAAGGAGTCCTGATTTTCAGCAGATAACTGCTGAACATTTTCAGAAAATTACACCCTGTTCATATAAGCAAAGTTGGACATCCACATTCCTAGGCTGTTCTCAAAATCTTGGCTTGCTAACTAGCTACTTGTATTAAAACCCCTTCCCAAGGAAAACAGCGACGCCCACCATGCTGCTGCCTCCCTGGCAGTAAATGTAGGGCTGCAGATGCTGTAAAGGTCCAGGATGAAGGTTAGGTAATGAGCCAAATCCCTTTCAAAAGGATCTGGCTGGAATCCCAGGGAACACCCTGCAACTCATTAGACTCATCTTAATTAAACTCAGGAGCCTCCCAGAGCAGCATGCTCTGTTCAGGAAAAAGACTTGATACATTCATTCTCCTAACAGATTTTACATTAAGGAGCCTGACCTTCCTTGGCTGACTGGGTGTTAAATTTGCTGTATCTTCTGCAAAATAGTTTTAAACATTGTGGGCATCCATCAGTGCTTGCTTGTGCAGAATCACTCCAGGTTGCTTACAAAGTCAAGTTCTTATTAACTGCTTTAATGTCACTAAAATTCTCCTACTATTCATCATTATTTTCAGCTGTCACTACCTGGTAGTTTGTATAAACAGAGACATCCTGTTTAAATTATCCTCGAGTATGTCCTGGTGTATCTCTCATATAGCATGTAATATGTATGCTGTCCTCCACTGCCTCTTTATGCAAAGGCATTTTTATCCTTGTAGGCAATGTCAGAATTAGAATTCTCCATGCCCAGGACCCAATAAGCAATGCTCAGATCTCACAGAAGAAGTAGATGTTTAACCAAATACTCCCATGCCCAAATGGTCCAATCAGTAGCTCTTCCTGTATATATTTACATGTTTCATATGTTACAAGTTAAAACAGCATTTCTCTTAAATTAGGCAACCTGTTAATTTTTGTCAATTTACAATAAACACTAAATTATTTACATTTTTAATTTAAAAATATGTACTGTACTGAGGCTGTTCTGAAGTTTTAAAGTATTAAGTTTCAGTGATCAGAGACACTTCTGTACTTATGGCAAACACCTAGGGAAAGTTGTTTGATATAGACACATCTGGACTTTTTTTAAAAAAATGTGTATTTGATTTTTTACTATGGCTTTTATTCAGAGATCACTGAAAGGAATGGAAAGATGGAAAAGCATCATTTTACATACCTTGGTTCAGGCCTTGTTAAGTAACCCATGAATTCTGTTGAGGTTATATCCTGACAGAACCAAGCTTCCTTCTTTATATTTTTCTTTAATATTGCATTGAACACATGAATTTGCACTGGAATAACTCTGGAAATATTACAAGAGGGCGGGATTTTCAGCAGCATCTAACTCATTTACAGTCATGTTCTGTTAAAAGTCAACAGCTTCCTTGGTGATTTATTTTTTAAAAAAAACTTGGCCTCTCATAATTGAAGACTATGTGTGCATTCTTTGTTGTAATTTGTTTGTTTTTTGAGATTCTTGTATTGATTTGTGCTGTAACCAGTTCTTAGAGCTGGGTCAATAAAAGGATTTCTGCTCAGTAGTTACTAAGCACCCCACCTTGGTGTTTGAACTCTCTGTAGGGTCAGGCAGCTGAGGATGGGCTCTGGAAAAGCCAATTCTCTTCATCTGGGTGTTGGAATCAGCAAGGAGGAGTTACTGCCTCCTACTGGCATTTCTAGTTGCTGAAAAGCTGCTCTCACACCCTTCTCGGGCTTCCTGACACATTATTGCCTGGGGGCAACTGTTCCTTTCCTGGATTCAGAGCCATGAACTTTCTCCTGAAAGTAGAGATGTCCCTGAGTCTTCCTTCTAAAGGGAGATATCTGGTCCTTGGTGGGCTACAGCATCACCCCAGTGTCACCATAAAGTTCCTCCTTTGCCTGTGGGGGTGAGACCTGATGTCCCTGAGGGAAGAGCAAAGCAGCTCATTCCAACAAGGGGCACTGGAGTCCTCTCTGGGAATGAGCAGATGGCTGAACTGACATTTTGTGCATGAACTCTTTTTGACCTAGAGCAAATATTTAGTATTTCTGTAGGAGGTGGAGTAGCTTCATTTACAGTGATGAGGATTTTCGGAGTCTAAATGTTAGTCTTAGGCACTTCTGGTCTTTTTAGGCACCTCTGATCTTCTGTGGACTGAGGAGGGCCATTTTCTTCTTGGGTACGATTTTATTGACTTCAGTAACAATGGGTCAGGGACAATTGGAGCTTTTCTAGTTTAAAAAAACCCACAACCAAACCCAGCTACTGGCAAGATTAGCCCTGATTGTAGGTCTCTGAAATCAAAGGAAGGCTTCAAAATGTGAATCCTGAGTGAAACAGCAGAATCTCAAAGCAGTAGTAATAACGTGCCACCTTGCTCTGGCTTACTCCAAAATAACCCTTTCAGTCAAAAAGCTTTTAGCTTGATTATTTTCTTTCATACATTGGCTTCTAAGGCAGCAATTTTGTGCATACGTGCACCTGTGTGTGTGTGCATGTGTGTGTCTGGGAATGTTATTTATGAAAATGCCAGTGACTGCAAGTAATAATTTTTGTGATTTCAGGTTCCTGCCACTGTGGAAAGTGCATCTGTTCGCCACAGGAATGGTACATTTCGGGTGATTTCTGTGAATGTGATGACAGAGACTGTGACAAACACGACGGTCTCATTTGCACAGGTGCAGTACAGGCTAAGAAGTAATTGCTCTTAGAAACAAACTGTGTTGATGGGAATTATGTTAGACAAAGCCTTGTTTCTTCTTTCTCTGCTGATGGAGGAAGTGCATTTGCTGGCTATTCAAACCTGCTATAATTGTTTCTTCGTGCAGCGTGATAATCAACTTAAGGTTTCAAAACAACAGTTGAAAGCCTGAGTCTGAATTTAAATAAGTAAGCCAGCTATGAAATCTTCCTCAACAGTTTTCACTGTAGTAGACTACAAGTTACTGCTTTTTGGAAAAAGATGTACAATGTCAGCACTGTGATCAGGAGATTTTTAGAATTTTTCTTCTCTCATTGAACTTTCTGTATAATGTATTTAAGTCACAGACAAAATTCACTTGTCTGATATCTTTGGTAGGTGAGAGACATAGCTGTGTGGGTTAACAGAGCTTCCTGGCAATCAGGCAGTTCTCAGTGGGAGGCTGAAATACCTGGCAGTTTTTCTTTATGATGTGATAGCAAGTGATTAAAGTGGCTTCACCTTAACATTGTCTGAGGGTTCAGGTGGCAGATGCGGCTCGAAGTGGGCAGGCTGCCAGCAAACCCTCATGACAAATCTAGGGAGAAGAAGCAACATGGGAATTGCTAAATTAACTCACTGGCTGCTTCCTGCTACACAATTTTAGAAAACCTTTGCTGGGCAATTATTAGACATGGAGGAAATCTGCAAGCCAATTAGAGTGAGAGTGGGAGGGCTGACAGTAGTAAATTGTGTTTTCTAGCCAGCCCTATTAGCAAGGGTCCTTTCTGGGGGCAAGCAGCCAGTACAGAAGCAACAGGAGCCTTATCTTCAGCTGCAGAAGCTTTTCACAGATCTTCATAAAGTCAGTAGGAAAAGGAGCTGACATCAAAAACCCAGGCTGTAGAGCTCTCTCTTTCTCCTGACCATCCAGGAGTAATGAAAAATACTGAAATAAAAAGGCAACATGGATCTCTCTTTCCCCACTACAAAATAGTGCCAACACGTTTTTCAACTAATAGAGTTTGAGATTTTTTTTTTAGTACTTCTGAGAATTTAAGTTTAAAGTTCTTCGTGTTCATTGTTTTTGTTGCTGTTCTGTTTGTAACTTTTTTTTTTTCCATTCTGCATAAGAGTTAAAAGTTTTTCCCTTGTACCTGGGGGTACAGTGTGAACACTGAGCCTGAACAGCTGGATAGAAATAGTGATGGCATAATTACAATATGTGCTATTCTGCTGATGGAATTATTGAGAGAATGCTATTAATGCTTTCTAAGTGTAGGTTTGGGGCACCTTCTTAATGCAGGGGTACAGTAATTGTTCCTTCCAAAGGTAAAAAAAATCAAAAGAGGTGGGGGGAGCAATAAAGGAACAATGCAACTACTTTAGCTTGGCTTTTTACTTCCCGTATAACACATTTTAATGTAGTACATTTCAATTATGGTAATTGTCCTTTATTCATTCTGTTCTAGGCAATGGTGTTTGTAGCTGTGGAAACTGTGAGTGCTGGGAAGGATGGACTGGAAATGCTTGTGAAATCTGGCTCGGGAGAGAATACCCTTAGCAAAGGACATAAAAGACTGAGGGTTTAATTTGTTTGTTTGTATTTTTTCTTTAGGCTGCTAGAACATGTAATTTCAGAAGTACTCAGTGTGTGGATGTGGGTGTGCATGCACGCACATGTACATGGGTGTAGAGCACTCCTTTCAGGGCCTGATCCTTAACAAAATTAATGACAAAACTAAGAAAAAGGAATAATTCAAAATCACTTCGGAGCCGGACAGTCCAATCTTTAAAAAGTGAAGTCATAAAAATACTGACCCTGTGGAACTTCTGCAGAGTTCTTTGGTAAATTCAGTGGGACTGAGATTACACCCATAATGCCTATTTCTTAAGCAACATTTGGAAAAGGTGTAAGAAAGCCCTTTTTTTTTTTTAACATGATTTACTTGATTGTCACCTCTCCCCATCAGTATGTAACAGTATCCCTTATAGAGGAGTAGCGCTAGTTGTGTATTTGTCAATAACTAATATGTTTAATTTGATGGTGTTTGACAAATACATCGTTCGGTTCTTTTTCTAACAATCCTTAATATGCATCAGCTCATACCAGCATTTTTATTTTTGTTTTGTCAAATAATTGTGTTTGTGTAACTGCGATCCAATTACCCACCATCCAAAGACTGAAAACTCAAAATCTTTGAACAGACCCTTTTCCACAAGAGAGCTTCTTTGTTTCTGTGGTTAATGTGTCAGCACGTTGGTGATCTCGTCTACATACTATAATATTTTCAAATACATAACCTATAGCAGTATAAGGAATGAAACTAGTAAAGATATAAACGTATGATTAGCTATTCTGAGTATGTATCCTGCAACTCATATGTACTTTATCGTATTGTTTTATGTATGTACAGTTGCCTAGTCCTCTTAAAAGTAAAGCAAATGGAAATTAATTATACTAGTAACTTTTAGGACAACAATTCTGTGTGCTGTTGGAAAACATGGTTTGGAACAGATTGCACTGTCACACGTGGTATTCGCTGAATTTAACTGCTTTTATAGAAGTGGGGAGCCTGAAGGTCAACTGACTCGAAGAATCAGCTGTTCTGTGCAGTAGCCTGGTCTCAGCCAAAGATGTTCAGACAATAGCAACAAAGTAATTAAAGTTTTAATACAGTAAAGACAAACAAAGCAGTGGTATGAACAAAAATTTTATTTTTCCAATGGTGAAATGCTGCTCAGTGTGAAATTCACATTGAGTTATGAACGATGCACAACTATTGGGACTTCCCTAACTTATTTACATATGAGTCTATTTTTGTACACGTAGATTTGGCAGCCCTTGAATTCTTTAGAGCAAAAAACGATAACATACATTTTAGTTTCAAAAGTGTTTACATTTTGTGAATCCATGATTGAGCGAGAAATTGATAAAAACGGCTGGAAAATATTTTTAATAACAAACTGTAACATTGTGATTTAGGTGCCAAGGTCCTGATTTTTGAAGAGGTACATGACTCAGAAATAAGGGAACAATATATTAACCAAAATATTAGTCAATTATTAGACTAGAAATGAGTTTTATTTCAGAAAGGACAGTTTTGAAATAGGAAAATACAATGGTACAGAACGTAATAGAATGCAAAAAAATTGAATTAAGTGGCTTAATCACTTTTTTTATTCCCCCTTCCCATGTAGCTTGCTCTTTCTCTTACCCATTTTTTTTTATTATTTTTCCTTATCCTGGATTATTTCTTTTAAAAAATGAAGTTTGTGAAACCCATTTTCTCAGGGACCATAATCACCAAATATCTACACATAACTTATATAGAAGTTATGTAGATAAATAATGAGACATACATCCCAAAGCTGCTAGCTACTCTCTTTTTAGATAACAAAAAAATCAGGCAGAGTTCTAAAATGTGTTGATACAGCATAAGTAATCTTCAAAGTAAAATTCATCTTGAATTTATCTTTTATACTTATCACCCTTAAACTCTCTAAAGCTTAACAGGGATAATTTCTCAAATTTTAACATATATGTGTTTTGTCAGGCCTGGTGTCTGGAGAGCACTGATTGTTGGTTTTATTTATATTTATGAATACCGCTGACCTGAATCATCTTGTAATCAGTATTTCTTCTGCATATACATTCATCTCCTGAATCAGAGTGTAAACAATGAGAGATACAAAGTTTTCCTTGATTTCTTTCCATTTGTATTTTGTACTGTAATAAGAAAATACTAGATAATCAAAACTCTTCTGTTCAGTAGATGCTTTTGACTTGTTTCATGGCACGATAAGAAGATTTATATATACTGTAGATCAGCTTTGGTATTTCCAGTACTCTTATTCACAGACAAAAGAATAATCCTTTAGAGGGCTGCAGTGTCTTATTTGGTGCATTTCACTTTGTAATTTGCTTCCACTTTCCATTTCTATACTTAAAGAGTGGAAGATGGTTCTGATTTCTAGTAAGAATACCTTAAAAAACCCAATCAACTCCAATATTTTGGCTGCTGGATGGATGACATAACCATAGCATTTCAGAAAGTGTTAATCCAAGTTGTTTGTTAAAGTACATATGGAAAAAAATTATTAGAATATTCTAAGACAGCTACTGTCAGTGGTTCATTAAAATGCAAATTATCAAACAAAATGGTGCTATTGCTATAAACCTCAAAGTATTAACTAAGACTACTAAAAATATAATGTATACATAAATTACTTTCCCATTTGTATTCTGTTTCTTATAATGATGCTTGAACACTCCCCCCACTCTTCATGCTGAGGGAACTAGTGATGTAACTCCCAGCAAATCTGTTTTGTGGCTCATTTCCTCACCAGAAAAAAAGAGGTTGGGAGGAATGACTATCATTCCACATATGTGAAAATAATAGCTGTATTCATAAATTGTGATTTTACACCTCATTCCCTGTAATGGGAATTCCATATACGTAAACTGTAAAAGCAGGAAGAGGCGTAAAGGAGTGAAACGTCCTGCTTGATTCTTCATGCCTAGTGACTGTAAAAACTTGCTTCCAGGCCTGTGGCAAAAGGCAGCTCTAGGTGGCAAAAACAAATTGGATAAATGGGGATTTCATACTGGCTAGATTGGCAAGCCTTATGAACAAAAGATACTATAACCTTGCTTTCTTCTCCTGAAAGAACACAATCCAGAAGTGTGCCAAATGCTTCTACAACAGACTTGCAGGATAAAGCCTATTGTATATAACATATCTGTAATATCACCTGTAAAACAGTTGTGGATAGATTTGCTTGTATAAATTATTAACCTACTTGTGATCCCTTTTTCCCTGGCCATATTTTATTTTAGAATCACACAGGTGAACAATTAATCATGTACCTGCTCTCCCTTCTCTGAGGCATTGCCCTTGCTTCTTTACAGAATTTTGTCTTCCTTTGCAGCTAAATGATACTCAGATGAAGAAAGCTAAGTTGATTTTTCTGTGACTAGGTAATAGATGAAAGTTTTATTACAACTTTGAAAATAAGTCTTAGCATTTGCATTAGTCATCATCAAAAAAACAACCCCTCTTATTAGACATTATAAAACGCATTGCACAGAATATGAGTTTATCTAAAGGGGCATTTAAAAGAAAGATAACTGCCTTACTTAGTCTAATTTTACTTGCATTTCCATTTAAATGGAGCTGAATAATTTCTTATTTATACCAATAAAGAGATGTATCAGCAAGACACACTTGTGATGCATGGATCAAACTGCCTGTTTTCATATCTCTTTGCTTGCAGTGGTTTTAAACCAAGTGAAAAAGTTTCCCAATATATATATAAAAAGTCAGAGTACTTGGTGTTTTTTCAGGTATACACCATATTCAAAGTGGATTGCTTTATACTTGGGGGGAGGGTTTTCTTTTAAGAACCAACCTGACTCTACACAAGTTAAAATTCATGAAAATGACAGTATATTAAAAAAATTATTTGAGAGTGGCTAAAACCCGAGCAAGTTAAGCAAAAGCTGTGTTATGTGAACCATAAATCACTTAAAAGGTTTCTATAGACTCTATCATGTGAACAATCAAGGATTCTTGTGTATTTATAACATTTTTGAAGTACAACAAAACGATGCTGTGTTGAATTAGTTTATAGCTACTTAAAACTGGATTTCTAAACCAGTTCAGTTGTGACTGTTTTTGCCAAATAGAACTGTAGCTGAAATGCAGATTTAAAAACAAAAAAAAAAAGAAAAAAGGAAGAGATAATTACTATGTGCAGTGTTAACACATGAAATGGTAAGACAAGGTTGGATTGCTGTGCACAGTCTCTCAGAGATCAGATAAAACCCAGAAGAACAAAATACAAAGCAAGCATGCAAAAGACCTGGGACGCTGCGGATTCACAGACAGCTGAACATGTAAGTACAAAAAAACCCAATCTGTAAATACAAAGTGATTCCATCAGGGTTGCTATACAGTACTGTAGTAGTAACAGACAGTTGAAAACAGCTTTCACTTAACAGCAAAATTAATTTTAGAGGGAAGAAAATGGTGAAGTCTCATCCTGGAGAACAGCGAGAGAGGTATTATATTAAGGAGCTAAAATTTTCTTTGGCATGGTAAAAGGGGAGAATTGAGTTTGCCAGACTATTTACATGACATTTTACCATCCTGTGGCCAGACGGATGATGTTTTGCACAGTCTACTTCTTATACAACCCTTTTTTGTTGTTTTCCCAAACACCTTCAAAATATAAACATTTTATTCATCGTGTGGAATTTGTGTATACAACAACTAAGAAAAACACAGACTGTACAATGCAGACAAACTCTTTGCATATACGTATGTAAACTTAGTAATACAGACCGACAGTTCTTTGAAAGACACAACCTACTACATGCAGTTCATCCTTGCCATCCTCTTCCCATGCAGCAGATGAGACAAGAGACAAAATTAAAGGGAAGAAACAAAGCACAACGACCCCTTTGCTATGTTTAAACAGAGTGTAGAAAAAATATTTTTAGGACATTGATTCGTTGCATTACATACATGTATGGATTTAGCCCATAGAAACAAAACCACAAAATAATAAAATAAAAATGCTCTATTTCCAATAGATACTAACTGCTTACAAAAAATTAAACCTGGCCTTAGTCATAGCCCCCCCCAACTCGTTTGCAGATCATAATTACTCAGTATCAAAAGTTTGACATTGAAATCAATACTTCTGTAGCATCAGGCCATGAACCAGAATCTCCTTGCATCGCTCAGCCAGGTCTCCAGCCCTGTCTCTCCCCAGGCTCTTACACTAGGAGAGTAAAAAGATGTCTGGATGGGACATGAGCACATGCATTCCTTCCTTGTGAACACTTACAAAATTCAGGTGAAAGAGAAGGAGAATGTAGCCTTCAGCTGTATTATCTTAAATTGTAGGAAAGCTGGGGGCTTCCACTGGGACCCAGCAAATAGTACAACATGAAGGCTGCTGCCTCCCATGGGTCCTCTAGATGCAGAGCAAACCCCAGTTCACCTTGTGAGTTGCTTTGGTTTTGTTTTGTTTTCTCAGGGATGGTGCACAAATCCCACTAGCCAGATGGGATGAGAAGGGTGCACCGAAGTTTTCAGTAAAGTGTTTTATCCCATGCACACATATTTAGTGTTAGCAGGCAAGGGCACAGTCTAAGTCAAAGTTTCTTTGCAGTTTTATCACAGTATTAGAGAAGGTTTGTATTTTTTTTTTCTCTACATGAATAGTGGGCTTCATGCTTAACTCATTCCCTCCCTAGAAAGACCCAACATTAAGTGTTAGTCTGGCCTACAAAAAAAAGAAAAGAAAAAAAGTGTATCTAGAATTTAGCAGCTTTACAATAGGCTCCTTGAAGAGTGCACTACGTGTTGCTTATAAAAACAGAACACATTAGAAAACTAGCATGAAGATTTCATTCAGACTCAATCAATTGTTCAGCTGAGCAGACAAGGAGTTTGAAATAACCAGTGGTCTCTGTTAGGGACTTCAGC